ATTTCAAATGTATTGTTATATAAGTAATGTAAGGGCATTTAGTGGGAATAATGAATGATTTAGTGGGAATAATGGTATGAAATATTGAGCAATGCTGGAAAGAATTTTTGCTGATGAGTAAAGCATAATGTCCTCGAGCCTATCCATGCTGCTTCCATGTGCTTGTCATAACTAACCATGCCAGTAAAAGTAATGACTCGTGACACGGCTAAGTACAAAAATAATTACTATTCAAGAGAAAAATTAACACTTTTTGTACTAATAAAAGAATGTGGGAGCAGCACGGATTGTAACATCTAGCAGTTACACCGACATACAGTTGGTGTACATAGGACTGTTGGACACTCTCCCCTCCCTATTATGTACTCTTGTTGATAGGCTGAGATAAATTTTCAAAAGTAGAACCCAATACAAATAATGCCTTTGACTCTTGCCCAATAGCACACTCAGCCAAATAGATCTATTATCACATTCAGTTAGGCAGCAGCAGAAGAAACTTAAGGCTGCAATGGCACTGCATTGTGAATCCCGAGAGCACCCAAGCTAACTAGCAAGGACTCACTATTAATGTCTTGATATTAATGATGGAACTAAGGAGGGACCAAAAAAAGCATCATATTCTTTGAATATAGGCGACAAAAATGCGGGAGTTCAAAGTGAAAAGGTGTGGTTCGGAATAGTAGAGGTGTATCTAACAGAAGGAATGCATCTTTTGAATTAACATACTGTAGTAAAGATAGTCTATTCTTATGTGCTGTAGAAGCTGAATTAATATTCCCAATAGAAGACCCATGAAGACTTGCCTATTTGGGTGAAATACCATATAGCGGGTTATTTTCGGTGGTTGAAAATTTCGACTGAAACCAGAAATGGCTTTAGAATAAAAATTCGTTGGTTTTATTTTCGACTAGACAAAAATAATTGATCTTATGTCTTCACTAGCATCTGTAGGACTGATAGCATTAGAAAGAGGTCCCCTGGTCCTGTAGGATCTGGAAGAGATTCTTTAGAAGGTGAACGCCGTTTTCAAGGCCATCCATGCTTGTTATCATGTTATTAATAATTTATTATGATCACGCCTATCTTCAAAATTAATTTTCGTTCAAAATTAATAGCAACGAAACAGATGAAAATAAGCACCGGTCGAAAATTACCCGCTATACGGTAATTAGAGCCCCAGGCTAACAACTTCTTGGGTCATGTATATTTATTACATAGGCAGTAGCCTATATGTTGCATTCAGGTATATTTTTTAGGATGGCGGCTGTTTTTATGATTTTCAAACACTTAAACCTTTTATCTTATGTTGTACAGCTTTATAAATGGCGTAAATGAGCTGTCCTTCCCTGAGCAATTCTCCTGGTACCAGAGGACTGTAGGCAGTGGGAGCATTATGGAGAATAGGCCCAAATTCAAATTTCGGCACAATTCTTCTGACTTTTTATTCTTTTATGTTTCTTCTATCAGCACAGCAAATCTTTTCAGCCAAAGAACTGCTTAAGTTAGCTTTCGCATCATTCCTTTGTGCTTGGGTCAAGGACTAGACAAGTGGCTTCAAACAGAAGCAAAGACAAAGAAATAAAATGGAAGACAAAATCAAGGTGCAATCAACACTTGGCTTTGTGGTTTGATGCCATTTTAATTTATAAACACGTGATTGGCATGAAAGAATTAACCTAACCACAGACAGAATGTAATAAGAAAGAAGAATGAAAACAAGTCAGCAAAGAAACATATGGGAAAATAGTAAATTGGATTGGGAAAAAAGTACGGAAACAAGAGGGTAGACTACTTGCAAACTGGTGTGGTTAAATATCCTATGCCACTACTTATTACCCAAAATCACAGCAATTATCAACACAGCTAATTATGATGGCACTATGAAGCCTTTATCTTTCATGCAGTGTTGTAGGATATCTTACCACACCAGTTTGCAATTAGTCTACCCACTTGTTTCCTTACTTTTTTTCTAATTTAATCCTGCTATTTTTCAATTTTTTAATGTTTTTCCATTTACTTGTTATCCTTTGGATTTAAATAATTTCTGACTTAGTAGGATTGAAACAAAATCCACATCGCTTCTGTTTACCAAAAGGTCACTGACAAGAGATTAAAAGGTCACTGACAAGAGATGCCCCAGAATAAAGATGGTGATGAATAAAATTAAAAAACCAAAGAATAGAGTTAAAAGAATAGAGTTAAAAGAATAGTTATGAAAAGCTAATGAGGTATCCTTCTGTGGCATTGTAAATAGAAACAAATGAGCAGAATGAACAGTGGCCACATTGCCACCTCTAACACCAAAACCAATCTGATGAGGAGAGAATCATTGCAGGCTGACATTTACAGCTGCATGAAATTTTAGCCCCAAATGACGAAGAATACAACCCACAGCAATTGGTTTTATCCCTTCATTACTCTTTTTAAGTGCTGTTAATCTTGCTCCAAATAAAAATGGCGTATTGTCTTACCCTCTACAACTATAGAGGAAAATATTGCAAAAGAAGAAAAAGATGAGATTAACTTTGGCACCAAAGACACTGACGAAGGTGTATCTTTTAAATTCAGTGGCTTTAATTTATCTGGACTTCTGAAAAATCCACAAGATTTAATTAGCCAAAGCTACATGACTTGTATACTAAAAGATCAGTAACAAAAAACTGGAGGAATTAAAAGAGATAGATGCTTGGCTGGAAGAGCTTTATAAGTACTCTGTGAAAGAAGTTACAGCAGTATCCGAACAAACGGCACCCCAAAAGTCCCCTAAAAGTCCCCTTACCTCTGAAGAACATTTAAAAAGCTGGCAAAAGTGTGTTAGGTTTCTTAAAAATCTTAAAAATTTAAACACTGTGAAGGCTCATCACTACTCTCTAGGTCACTGTTAATAACAATAGCAAAAGTCTTCTTTCCACTTCTTGGTAAATGTGAACAATTATTAGGAGAAAAAGTAAAGTAACCCACAATGGTACTGTGTTGTCCTTCACCACATTAAGCAGGGCTGAGAATTATTCAGCCGCTAAACAAGATGCTTTTTGAATCCTTCCGATAGTTGGGACTAACAATAAGATGCTTTTTGAATCCTTCCGATAGTTGGGACTCTTGTAAGAAGATATAGTGAATGACAGACGAATGCTGAACAATTGAGGTGAATTGGAAGGGAATGGAGTTGCATTATGTGTAATTTCAGGAGAAGGCATGCTGTCATAAATGGAGTGACTGACACGTAAGTTCCTACCTGGATAACAAAATGATTGAGGATAAAGAAGTCTTATAAAACAAGCAATATTTTTACCATTATAGCTCTGAATTTTTATAATATAATGTTTTGAGTAACAATAAAATTATAATGTCTAAGTTATACTTATCTTCCAAAAAATGCACACACAATATGGATTCTGTGGATTGCTTCATTTTAAACTATAAACCTGACAAATATCATTTGTATATGGCAAGAATACTTTAAAGTGATGGCTGTACTCCCTGTGTTGTGTTGTGTCTCAAAAAGAATAATTCATTCTGTAATCCGACTTACTTGGACCAGTTGATACAAAATTACAGTTTGATTGGGAATAATAACAAATCCACATAGTGTGCCTTTGCGCGAAGCTCTTAGGTACATTCTTCAAGGTTTTGATATGCCTTGACAAATCCTAAAACCATTTTGGCTATCGTACCTCATATACACCAGTAATGTATTGGTGGCCCATACTGACAAGTACTAAGAATTTCAAAAATTATTATACTGACAATCCACTAAGGAATATAAATAAGTGATGCTTGTTAGGTATGATGGGACTGGTTTGATACATTTCTTTGAACTGATCCTCATTTACATGTGCTATATAAGATGCCTTTCTGTTTGAGTTTTCGAGCAAACAGTCTGTAGCAGAGTGTAAAAGGAGAAAGTTGTCTTAGTGACTTGTACAATATTGGTATTAGATCTTGAATTGTCAAAGGAAGGAGTCTTGCCAAACACTAAAGCTGACTTGCTCTGTAATGAACAAAATGATATACTTTTGTTAAACATTATGCTATTCTTGGTTTTCATGATAACTATTCAAGATTTTAATTAAGGATATAAATCATTATTGCATCATGTTGACAAATGCCACTTCCTATAGTGGGAATATGCTGTTATAGCCATTGGCTGCAATGGTCAGTATTGCTATTTTTGGCTGCTACAGCTTGCAGGCAACAAAACTTGCCTGATAATCCCTCTTTCTACTGAAGAAGAGACATTACAAAAATTTGATAGATATAGTTAAAGAAGCAAGATGGAGGCCAAAAAGCAGTATGAAATAACAGAATAAATGAAATCCACGTTTAATGTATGATATTTGCAAGCATACATCATTACTTGAAGGTTACAGATGTTTTCGTCTGGTTTGCTGACATGTTTTTGCCATGTATGACTGCATCCAAGCATGCATACACGATATGTTGGTTGACACAAAACATGTCTTGTTCAATCAAACATGACACAATGCATGTCCTATCGCTTTAAACGTCACACAAAACATTTACCAAAGATGACACAAATATGAAAGAACCTCTCAGGCTTCTTCAAACTTGAAAAACATGTATTGTTCAACCAAACATGGCACAAAACATGTGATGTTGCTTTATAATAGTCCGTGATACAAAACGTCATATTGCTTCATACATGACAAAAATTGTCATATTTGACAAAACATGCTGAGTTTTGTCCAAATAGGTTACATAAATGAAAATGTCATGTACATACTGAATTTTTACCTCAGGGCCCTAACTTTTGGTATAAACTGTGCGATGAAACTGAGAAAAGAACGGAATAGTTGAAAGAAAGGACAGGAAACATAAACCAACATCAAGAACTCGGTCTGATCTGTCACTCCTGGTATAAGCTATATAATGAAACAGAGAAAAGGAGTGAATCAAACATGAAACGTTTCAAAAACTAACCTCAAATGAAAAGAACTAGGCACTCAGACTGAACTCTCGCTCCTGGTAGAAAGTAAACTATGAAACTGAGAAAGAAGAAAAAATAGTAACATGTAAGTAGTGCATACAATATTAAGTTATAGATAAACTACAGATGTTGAGGGTTACTGGATACAAACAAGGATGTTAGTTGATTTAGAAGCAGAGGCTTCTAAATCAACTAACACACGAGCGTATATCAAGTAACATGAAACAGCTGTATTTTATCAGGTTTGTGCTACAGTGTGTGGGTGCATGAAAGGCACAGTAAGGCACTGTCGTCTAACTACCAGAATTGGCAGTTAGATGATGGCTTCTAACTACCCCTGCTGTGGTCTACACTATATAAACTCGTGTGGTGCCTTTGATACACCCACACACTAGTATAATTTAAAATTAAACTGAAATAAGACTGACTGCTGAGTTACTTCTCATATATATATATATATGTATATACTACTATGACACTGCGTAATGAAGAAGCGAATAGTGACAGAACATGAAACATTAATGATATTAAAAATAACCAATCACTTAACATTTGTTTTTTCTTTTCCCACTTTCATAGTATGGTGTATACCCAATGTGATTAATCATTTTATCATTTGAGCTTTGTTTTAAAATGACATTTCATGTACAATTGACTTCTCAATGTTTCTTACTTTTTGTGCCATGGTACTGTTTAAAGCAGAAGGGACTGATCTCACTATGTTCTCATCATTTGTGATTGGTTTTAAATTGATGTCATGTACTTCACTTCTCACAATTTTTTCTCAGTTTCGTAACATAGTTTAAATTACCGAATGTGACTAATCAGACCAAATTCTAATCAGTTTAGGTTTGTTTTTGAAATGATTTTTATGTACTGCCTAGGTGAAACTATTTGTTTCCTTTTTTTTCTCCGTTTCATAGTATAGTTTATACCGGGAGAGACTGATCTGACTCAGGTTGTTACGTGAGTTTTGTTTTAAAATTGTTTTATGTACTAGTGACTGAACATTGTTTCTTCTTTTTGAATTTTATAGTATCTTTTAAAAACATCATAAGTGACTGATATGACTTAGTTCTTATATTAATTAAGGTTGGTTATTAAAATGTTTCATGTTCTGCTAACTTCTCACTATTTCTTGCTTCTTTTCTCAGTTTCAATGTGTAGTTTAAACCAGGACTGACTGATCTGACTAAATTTTTATCATGAAAGTGACTCCACTCTTGCTACAAGTTGAGATTGGTTTTTAAATATGCTTCATGTTTTACTTTCTCCTTTCTCAGTTTCAGTGTATTGTATGCCAGAAGTGACTAATTGAAATGAGTTTTTATTGTCTGAGGTAGGTTTTAAATTGGGAATTTATGTACTTTCGACTTCTAACAATTTTTTCCTTCTTTTCTCAGTTTCATGTTGTAGTTTATTCCTGAACTGAGTTTTTATGAATTAAGGTTAATTTATTGAAAGGGACACGTTCACGGAAATAGAATGCACACGTTACTGTAGAGGAAGTTAACATTAAATTGGGTGTGCAACAGATTATTAATTAATAGTTATGAGACAGAGCAATCAGTCGCAGAACCAGGATTAGGCATCTGTAAAACACTTCTCTCAAACAGAATTAGCTCTTTTGCCACCCCAAGATACTCTTTTTAGTTAAGAAACACCAGGAATATTTACAAGAAGCCACTTGAGTAGCCATTTTGCCTTAATTATTAGGGGCGCAGCTGCACGTTATGAAGACAGTTCTTATTTGTGGTGGGTTTCAAACTAATGGGTCATGTACTACTCCTCACTATTTGTTTTCTTCTCAGTTTCATAGTATTGTTTATAACAGCAGTAAATTATTAGACTGCGTTCTTATAATCTGATGGTTTCATTTATTTCTTCTTTTCTCAGTTTTATAGTGTCGTTTAAAACACCTACAGTGACTGAATGGATTGAGTTACTATCATTTGAGGTTGGTTTTAAAATGATGTTTAATGTACTGTTGACTTTGTAGTTATTATTCCTTTTTCAGTTTCATAGTTCAGTTATACCAAGTGTGACTGATGAAATGGAGTTTTCATAGTGTAGTTTTATACCAGGACTGACTGATTAGACTGAGTTCTTACTTTCTTAAGTTTAGTTGTTAAGTGGATGCTTTATGTTCTACTTCTGTCCCTTTCTCAAATTTATAGCATGGTGTATGCTAATGACTGATTTAACTGAGGTCTTATCATTTGAGGTAGGTTTTAAATGATATTTAATGTACCTTTGACTTCTAACTCTTTTGTCAGATTCGTAGTGTAGTTTATACCTGGACAAAGTTTTATCATTGGTGACCATAATTGACAAAAGGTACCTATGGCGGTTTTTAAAATTCATTATAATGAAAAATATCAACCTGTGAGTGCTCTGTTAGACAACTATTGTTTCTTAAAGTTACATAGTAACTTTTTATGTCCTCTAAAGTGTTTTATGATAAATTGAGCTTAGAAAGTTGGATTTTTAATGCTATAAAGACCAATTTTCCTATCGGCTATAAGGTTCAATTATGGTCACATTTTAGGTTTTATTGAAAATGTTTCATGTCCAACTTGCTTTAGATTCGTTTTTCTTGTCCAAGTTTCATAGTATGGTGTATACCCAAATAAAGTAACCGATCATTTTATTAGTTAAACTTTTTTGAAAGTGATGTTTTTTGTACTTTTGATGGCTCATTATATTTTACTTATATTTAAGTTTTGTAGTACAAAAATACCAAGAGTGACTGATCAAACTAATTTTTATTATTTAAGGTTGGTTTTTGAACTGATGTTTAATGTTAGACTGACTTTTCATTTGTCATGGTATAGTTTATAACAGGAGTAACTGATCAGACTGAGTGATATTTATTTAAAGTTGGTTTTAAATTGATGTGTTATGTACTAATGTCTTCTCACTATTTAATTTTTCTTTTCTCAGTTACATTGTGTAGTTTTAAGTACCAAAAGTGACCCCACTGAGTTCCTATCATTTCAGTTCGGTTTCAAAACGAAACTTAATACTTTCATTTGTCTAAGTTTCTTAGTGTAGTTTATACCAAGAGTGGCTGATCTTACCGCCTTGTAATCATTTTTAGTTGATTTTTAAAATGATTTGTGTTCTGCTTCTCACTATATGTTACTTCTTCTGTTTCATAGTATTTTGTACCAAAAGTAACTGATGGGACACATTCTAATCATTTTAAGTTGGTTTCTGACAATGTTTACTGTTGTACTATCCTGTTTTTTCTATTTTCAATTTCATTATAATCTATATCGAGAGTAACTGATCAAACTGAGTTTTGATTATTTGTTCCGTTTATAATGTTAATGGTCTATACTTCTCACTATTTGTCTTTCCTTTTCTTTGTTACAGAGCATAGTTATCACTAGAAGTGGCTGAACTGACAGAGGTCTTATCATTTAAGGTTTGTTTTTGAAAGAATGGTGCATGTTCTACTCCTCATTTGTTTTTTCTTTTCTCTGTTTCATAGTGTAGTTATATGCCAGGACTGACTGATGAGACTGAGTTATTATTTGAGGTTTTGTTTTATATTGATGTTTCATGTTCTACTCACTTTATTTCTTTCTCAGTTTTATAATAATATGTATACCGGAATTGACTAAATAAACTTAAGTCTTATCATTGTACGGTTCATACTCAGAGTGACTGATTCAAAAGTTTTAGTCAATTTAAACCTTTTTTGCAATAATGTTTCATCTTTTACTGATTCTCACTTTCTGTTTCTTTTCACAGATTCATAGTATAGTTCAAAATACCAGTTGTGACTGATCTGACTGAAGTCTCATCATACCACGTTGCTTTTTGAATTTGTGATCTAATCCTTATTTGTTTCTTCTTTTCTCTGCTGTATAGTGTAGTTTTACTGATCAGACTGAGTTATCGAATAATTTTACTGAGGTCTTATCATTTGAGGTAGGTATTAGGATAATATTTCTTGTACTTTTGGCTTCCATTTTGTTTTTTCTGTAGTTTTATTGTTTTTTCTGTAGTTTTATTGAAGTTTACAACTGGACTGTCTCAGTTTTTGTCACTAGGTTAATTGACTTATTGTTTCATGTTCCACTCACTTACCATTTGTTTCTTTTTTTCCATTTACATATGTAGTGTATACCTCATGTGACTGATTGTTTTATCCTTCAAACTTTGTTTCAAAAATGATGTCACTACTTATTACTACTTTTTCACTTTCATGATACAGTTTATACCATGACCGCATAATCAAACTGATCTATCATCATTTGAGGTTGCTTTTTGGACTGATGTTTAATGTGTGACTCACTTTATTTCTTAGTTTCATGGATTTACCTTGAATAACTGATCGGACTGAGTTTTATTCATTTAAGTTAGTTATAAATTGATGTGTCACGTATTACTCTCTTCCCACTCTTTTCTTTTGTCAGTTTTATGTTATGGTGTTAAATATTAGAAGCGACTGATCAAACAGTTGTCATTTTAGGTAGGCTTCTAAACAATATTTTGTGTACTTATAACTATTGGTTTCTTCTTTTCTCAGTTTTGTGGTGTAGTTTATACCTAAAGTGACCAAGTTATTATTACTTCATGTTTTCTGAAATATTTTATTTTCCACTGACTACATTTTGTTTCCTCTTGTTTCAGTTTTATAGTATGTATACCTAAAGGGAATGTTAATGTACTTTTGACTTCTTCCTATTTGTTATTTCTTTTTTCAGTTTCATGTTACAGTTATTACACTGAGTGACTAATCAAACAGAGTTTTATCATTTGTGGTTAGTTTTTGAAATTATGTTTAATGTTGGACTTACTTTTTATTTGTTTATTAGTTTAATAATATAGTGTATACCAGGAGTAATTGATTGGACTGAGTTCTAATCATTTTAAGTTGGTGTTTTAAATGATGTACATATTCTACTTCTCATCACCATTTGTTTCATTTTTGCAGCTTAATAGTGTTGTATACACCTAAAGTCCTTTTATCATTTATATTTTGTATTAAATTTCATGTACTATTGACTTATCTCAATTCTTTTATCAGTTTCATGGTATGGTTTGTAACAAAAAAGACTGGTCGATCTGACTTTTTCAATTGAGGTTGGTTTTTTAAACCAATGTTCATTGTTTGACTCAATTTGCATTTGTTTCTTTCGTATACTTTCTTCATAAGTAACTGATGGGATCAATTGTAATCATTATAAGTTGGTTTTTGAAACAGTGTCACGTTCCACTTCTTACTACTTATTTTTTTCCTCCAGAGTTTTAGGTACTTGAAGAGACTGATCCAACTGAGTTCTTTCATTTGAGGCCGGTTTTTGAAACAAGGTTTTATTTTCTTTTTGCTTCTCATTTCTTTCTTGTTTTCTATTCCATAGTGTAGTTTATTGACTGATTAGACTGAGTTTTTATCATTTGAGGTAGGTTTATACTTAAGAATTCATGTTCTTTCGTCTTGTAACTACTTGCTTCTTCCTTTCTCTGTTACCTGCAGTAGTTTATATATGGACTGACTGAGTTCTTTACATTTGAGGTTGGTAAGTGAAGTGATGTTTATTGTTCTACTCTGGTTCTTCATTTCTGAGTTTCATAGTATAGTTTATACCAGAAGTGACTGATTTGACCAAGCTCTGTTTATTTCAAGTGGGTTTTAAAAATGAAGTTTAATGTTTTACTTCTCACTCCGTTTCTTTTTTGTTTCAATTCATTGTTTAAAATACCAGAAGTGACATATCAGACTTGTAGTTCTTATCATTTGAGGCTGATTTTGCAAATATTTTATACTTAACTCACTTTTTGTTTCCTCAATTCTCAGTTTCATAGTATTGTTGATACCTAAAGTAACTGATCGGACTGAGTTTAATCAATCTAGGTTGGTTTTGGAAACAATTTTTATGCTTCACTTCTGACTATTTACATCTTTTCTCTATTTCATGGTTTAGTTTATACCTTGATTGATTGAGTTCTTATCCTTTTGTTTTTTTAAATAATGTTTTGTGCTCCACTGACGTCATGTTTGTTTCTTCTTTTCTTAGGTTCATAGTATGGTATTACATACCTAAGTGACTGAGATTGTCAAAATTACAACTTTGATTTAAAGTGATGTTTCATGTACTTTTAACAAAGACTTCTCACTATTTGTTAGTTTTTTTAGTTTTATGGTACAGTTTGTAGAAACATTGACTCATTAAACTGATTTTTTTCATCAATTGTGGTTGGTTTTAGAACTAATGTTTATTGTTTGAGTCACTTCGATTTTTTCTTCTTTGCTCAGTTTATACCTGGACTGAGTTACTGTCATTTTAGGTGTTCTTGAAATGAAGTTTAATGTTCAACTAAGGGTGGTGCAGAATTAGCTAGCATATTGAGCTTGACTAGTTTAAAGAAAGCAAGAATTATTCTAGCATAAACGGTAAATATCAGGAAGTTTCACGTGATTAAGGACTGCATGACAGCATGGCAGACACCCTTGATGATTTTGAAGTTCAGGCTATTGACTCTAGCAGCGATGAATCTACGTCTGCCGCTGATATTATTACTGATGTATCCACTACTGTTACTGTAGCTAGATCTTGCCAAATAGCTGAAATTTGTTTTTGTTCTACTTCATCTGGTGTAGTAGATCTACTTCAATACTCTAAGCACTCAGAGCCAGTTCTCTTGCAAGAAAGCGGGTGTTGTTGAGTAGGAATCATAGGAAATTGTTGGCAAGAGGAGCAGCAGATCTTCTGACAACACCAGCACAGGGAGCTCGTGAATTTTCTGTTTAAGGTGTCACCGGGAAAACTCTGCACTTGTTTCAGAGAAGAGATTAAAGGAGGAGTGGGATACAGAATTATCTGAAGAGTTGAAACACAAGGGAGGACAAGAACGTCTTTCTGTCAAGGAAGCAAGGTAACGGGATTTTGCTGATGCACTGATACACTAAAGCGGCATGATCAGCAAATGAGTCCAGCAGGTGACACTTCCGGTGGCCCAATATATTTTTTGCATCAAGGTGGCCATGACATTTCTGAGATCTGGTGTCCCTTTTGAAAAGGTATTCTATTTTTGTGTTGCTGGAAGAGAGTACGCATCGGCTGGTTGATAAGATGCATCTCAAAGACAGAATACCATTTGTCCTTAAAGAAGAAGCTCAAATAAAGATGTAAATCGAAGATAAGTTTGTGACCGTTATATCTGATGGCACATCATGACTTGGTGAGGTTTTGGTGGTACTTTTCCGGTATGTGCACTAATGAAGATTGAGCAACGATTAGTACATGTTGAGTTGTTGGCATCTGAAGAGCCTTAAAGGAAAGGAGGTTGCTAGGGAATTAATCAGCATCTAATCAGTTACCCTAAGAATTAAGACAAGGTTACTTATTGCTGCTAAGCATGATGGAGCTTCTGTGATTAATGTAGCAGTACATTGTTTATCAATCACTTTTTGATGTTGGGTGCATAGCATATACACCTGACCAGTTGGGGAAAAGTTTCAAACAACTATTTTGAATAATTTTGTCACACAATGGATTTCTTTGTTTTTGCACAGTCCTAAGTGTCTGCTACTTTGCAAAACAAAGACAGGAATTTCTGTAAAGTCGTATTCTAAAACATGATGGTAGAGCGAATGGGAGGTAATGGAGCAAATGCTGACCCATTTGAATGATATACCTCTGTTCCTTGGAAATGAAGTATCTTCTGTGACAGCAAATAAGCTATCAAAGGGGCTTGTTGAAACTACAACTTGCTGCGGTCATTGATTTAGGCTCTCATTTTGTTAAAGCTACCTACACAACTTATGAGATAAATCCCTGGTTTTAAAGTGCTACAAAATAATTGAAGAAGTGCTCTACAGGCTGCACACAATCCAAATGTAACAGCAGTTGCAGAAATGCTAAGAGGTACTAATGAAGCCTTAGTGTCTCAGTATAGTGCATATGCTATTGTTTGCCAGGATTACAGTATATACATTCATGAAGCCTTAGATGGTCCACTACAAACATCAATGAAAGCTTTAGAACTGCTAGACTTTTATCTCTTTCTAAAATATATGAAATGAATCCTATTGCCAATGAGGTAGATTCATTAAGACTTTTCCATTTCTTAACAAGGAATCTGTGATTATTGATTTAAAAGAAGAATTGCCTAAATATGTCTAAAGCAGCTGATGTTGATCCTGATTATGATCCTGTACAATGGTGAAGAGAGCATGGTAAAGGGCTTCCCAGATGCTCAAATGTACTGGGAAAGGCACTTTAGTACAAACCTCTTCAGCAGGAGCAGAGAGAGTGTTTTCTTTACTCAAATACATTTGTACAATAGTTTAGAAGACTACACTGAAACTTCACTCAAGCTACAATACAATAAAAGATCATAGTAACTTAACTTCTGCATGAGTTCAGTAACTTGTTATAATGGTGTAATTATCACTATTGTGGATTAAAAATAATTTGGAATTCAGATTTATGAGACTAATCAGAAGCATAATGCAGTGTTTTTGGAGAATAATCAAATGATTTCATGAGCAATTCTGAATCTAGTAAACTAATCATGTGTGAGCATGAGCCTAGTTACTATAGCTCTAACTAATAATCAATAATAATTAATTAGAGCGCGGTCTAAAAAATTAATTTCAGGCAGAGGTGTTGGTATTAGGCCGAGCTAGCTATAACTGTAGCTGTCTCATTTACAATTACGAATTCAGTCAAGTGTCCTTCCATCGCTTTTGCCAATGAGTCAGCAGTCTTTTGATGTCAAACTTTTTACATTCAGAAGCATCACATACTACATCCAGGTTTCAGTGAATCACACCCATATCATCACCCATGCTGAGGTCAAGTGACACGGTGTACTCAGACTGCAGTTTTAGTCACCTTGCTCATCTCAATGTAGCTATTTCACCAGGTAATTTCTGCCACTTTAAAGCATTGTAAGTACATTAAATTATCCCAGAATATGGCTAAGGTCAGCATTTGCTTGAAGCAGCCGAGGTAGATGAGTCATGAAGACTATCACAGCATTCCTAATTCATCAACAAGATTTACTAATCTGACTTACCAGCATTGTTGTCACCAAAAGTGATTAAGAAACATGAACAGCAGTATATAAGAGTATGATTTGCAAGTCTTTGACATGCTGTGTGTTCACGACTACTGCAAAAACATTTTCTATCAGACATTTTACTTATGATGGTCAGTGTTAATGAAGGAATATGCAATAACTTTCGGGATTTGTATTTTGATAGGCAAATATTTCGCAGGAAGGCTTTTATGTCATTGATGGGAATATCCCCAAAGCACTTTCGAGCAATCAAAAAGCTAATAAACAATGGTGTACGAGTTATTCCAAACAAAAGGAACAGACATGCTTCAACAACAATTAAGTGCAAGTCAGCCAAAGGATGGGCCATTACTTTCATCCAATTGCAGATACAATGCCTCACATTGAGCAAATCCATTAAAAAAATCAATTTATTTAACGGTGGCACAAAATTTTAAAGAAGATGGAAGTGATATTATTAGTTTCTCAAATTTTAGAATTTATGGAAGACATTTTTCTGACAATAATTTTAAAGGTAAGGTAATAAGTTAAATACAAAATGTGATGCATAATGTTTTACATTGCATAGTTTGTTCAGTAAATGTAACATCTGTGTGACACTTCAATATGAAAGATTAAAACATACAAGTGACAAAGAGAAAATGCCAGTTAAAATCAGAGTATCAGTCACATATACTTTAGCTTAAGTTATTTAAGTTATGTATTTCATTGGTTGTTTTAAACAGAAATGAAAGGAAGATATAGTCGAGAGAAGTCCAAAAGAAATCCAAAAATGTTAATTATTGTAGATACAATGGACCAGAATAGAAAATTTACCACAACTCCCCCAGAAGCCAAAAGCAACACAAAATTTAAGGACTCTGCGTACTCACATAGCAGGTATAATATTCACAATCATGCATGATAATTTTTGTGGCATTAATTCACACACATTGATGAAGCTTTCATATGCATTTTTAGACACAATGCAGTATCCGTACAACTCAAACGTAGTTATTGAGATAATTATGAGATTACTGATGAATTTGACGAAAAAAGAATCATGTCTACCAGAAGTATTGTATCTGCAATTTGACAACTGCTGTAAAGAAAACCAAAATAGATTTATACTTCCCTTTTGCAGTTCTTTTAATGTTGAAAAGAGTTTCTAAAAAGATTTATGAATAACAAGTAATTCTTTTAATTAAAGTTTTTATATTAATAGGTTCGAGTTAATTTCTTGCCAGTTGCTCATACTCATGAAGACGCAGATCAGTTTTTTTCTAAAGTATCATGTTACATTTTTAACAAGAGTTGGGGCAGAAACAGTGAGTTTTAAGTTTTGCAAGTTGTAAGTATTGCACAATGTCTTGCAATAAAATAAATTAAAATTATAGGGCTATTAAAGGCAAAAGCATTAAGTTACACTCCTAAACCATCTACATAGAACATTAAGTGTGTACACAATGTTTGAAGTTGGCCTGCTCCTTTTATTGAGGGCATACATGGGCACACGATCCTCACTGTTTTAAGTTTTTATGGAATAGTTCAAAGGATGTAGCAGAAATGTACTACAGAAATTGGAGTGAGGAACAGTGGATTGAGGGCATAGAAGTTCTGAAGGCAAATCATTCATTGAGGTTTCAGATAAAATTACAATTTTCTAATTGTAGGAACATCCACAAGGAACGCCACTATTGCTTGAACCAAAACAATGAAAAGCTAGATGTTGACAGATTACTACTTAAGATTCTACAGTGGCAAAAATAGTTGCATGCTTCCTCACAACAGCATTAGTCACAGTTTCTCCAAGCTTTGGAATCAGCATCACTTGTAACGTCTCCTGATATGAACTGTGAAAAAGAATGGTATCTGGGTTAAATCTATTGACAATTACAGTCATATGTTTGTATAGGAGACAACCAGCCTATAATAAAATTAATAATAATGAAAGAGAAAAATGCATGGTACATACGATAATC